GGCGATGAGTAAGGAACGATGATAACTGATCAGTTTAGGCGTGGTGAAGAAATAAATAGGAGGTGATCTGGGGGAGATTGGTAACTGCAGTCAATACATTACCAAGCTATCAGTTCGTTGGACATTGTCAAGTGCAATGGGAATTTCCATTAGTTCATAATTGTCAAAGAAGAAATGAGTTATTGTTTATACCTGGGTGGATAAAAAAAAAAAACTTATTTATCTATAATTGTCAACTATCAGCCCGTTACTATTTTTCAAACGAATTGTGTTTTGTAATTATTTCTGTAGGGAATGCGACGTTACACGTATGGTTGAAGATGGCGGGCGCACATATCAGTGTTGTCTGAAGCATCAAATGGGTACAATGCGTTCGTCTCTTTGAGTTAATCTCTTTTTGTAGCGTCTGTGAAGACATAGGCGCGAAGTCCTTGTACTTCTACTACAATAGTGCAGCATTAGTTCTCTATTTGTGTGGCACCGAAACTAGTTTACTTCCTGTTACTCCTACCTACTCTAGCCCATATTGCACGCAGCAGCCACCGAAGTCAGTGACCGCTGACCATGTTAACCATTAGCCATAATGTTCTACTATGCACGAGATCGTAGTGATCGTAATATCCACACCGGGAAAGAGATTACCCGGAGATTCTCTCTTGACCATAACATGCAAGATACTACCTGTAGTGGCTGCCAATAAACGACTCATCAACGCGACAAATACTTACAATGACGGCAGTAACAACAGCGCATTTGATCGAAGTTAAGGCTGCGCCTACAACGGCCTCAGCCCATCGTAAACTCTATGCGCGGTATCAGCGGTAACAACAGCTTTTTCCTCATCTACACATAGTCGAAAGAACAATCTGAAAAAAGGACTTACAGATCTACATTACGTAGGCATCTAAGCATAAGAACATTGTTTTCTACAATTTTTAAAATACGCCTTACAAAACCTGTACCCCCGAAAACGTGCAGCATACGAAGGCTATAGATCGCTGCCGATAGATGTAAAGGCATTCTGTTGCCGTCATCGCACGATCTACAAGATTTCAGCCTTAGAAAAACGGCAAAAAAATAACTGAATGCGAATATATACAAGGGCGTTCTCCAACATTGAGTAGTTAACGTAGAGGGCTCCACCTAGTAATTCGTTACGCTAACTTTTTATTAAATGTGTCTGCATCGTGGTAATGGGCGTTTCCGGCTCGCGATATCGCCAATATCGATGCAGCTTGTACATGCGACCCAACTAGTGATATGCTAATGCCTTTTTAGCTCTAACTGTCTCGACAATCCACTGGCAATATTAAATCAATCACCATTTCAGTTTAACTTAATTAGGTAAATTGTTGTGGACGTATCTGTCCTTTATTGTTACGAAATTCAAGTTCACAGGCCTACGACGACGTTCGCTCATCCATATAGGGATAGACAGAGACGGATGCGAAGCCGCAATGCAGAGGTGACGATGGTAATGGTGCGGTGGCATGGCTTGTTATTCTAACCTTTTTCTATTGCAAATGAGAAACACAAAGTACGTATTGGCTAGAAAAAGGAATTGAACACCAACTAATTTTCCAATAACGACACCGGTCAACAACAACAACAACAACAAATTCGAAATTGTGCTATAGTTATTATGTTAAATATATGTTCTTGAGTGTCCTATGTTGTCGGCACCTATCTGAAGGCAACGTTCTCCGTAATAAGATGCTTATTTCGGCGGAACCCAAAGTAGCCGCCTTCAGTTCAACGCAGCTGCGCTACTGCGACGTTATGTACGAAATGCAAATGATATCGACTTTTCACAGTATATATACTAAGGCGAAATCTAGAATTTAGTCGTAAGTTGAATTTTTGTTGTCTCTGATTTTCGTACGTCGGTCTTCGTATGTAACACTTTTATTTGAGGACAGTTCCATCACATACGGGGCGGGCCTAGATGTCCAATGGTGCTCTACATGACGCAAGAGTACGTACACTTTATTTACTCGCTAGCCGTTGTGCCCTGTCTCGAATTACAGCAATGATGGCCAGCTGAGTTATATATTTTGAGCATTCAAACTCTATGAGCGACGTACAGAACGTCCTCGGTCACTCTGCCCCACGTCGGATTCTCTAACTCTGACTGTCTGTTCTATTCCAGAATTGGTTAGTAATAATATTTTATATATAATAATTTGACTTTGCCCGGTGTTTGATGACAGAACGTGTGAACATCTCTTAATTGCGTACGTACGATCAATTTCATTCAGGCCTCAAGATGAGCTGTCGTTCATTTTCATAGTCACATCTCGGTGTTGGTGAGAAAGGAGTGGAAATCACAACATTTTCTGCACGATGCCCAGGTTTATTCAGGAACTGCTTTGTTGAAATAGTAGTTTCAAATACTTTAACTAAACCTAGGTAAAAAGCATAAAATGTCACACGAATTAAATCGTCTGGAACCGATCATAAAAAACAGTGCTCTAAACTATCTACAGCTGGTTTATTTAACTTTATTAGTTATTCATCTTACGTAAACAAATCGTCGGAACTATTTATCTACTGATATAGTATCAAAAACTTGCCGTTCATTAGCTGAATGAATATAAAGTATGAAGCAGTATGGAAATCATCAAATAATTTATTAGCTTATATTGAAGTGATGTTATGGTATTATATGACATGATTTTATTTAGTTTTTTTATTGTTGCTTCATTTTTTATGTTCTTGATTATTTACATCTGATAATAATTTTTGCCAGCGTTAGAATTTAGATCAGTAGCACGGCATTACTTGTGGTTGCCATAGCAACGAACTTCGAAGGATGAGCGGAAACAACAAAAAACATTAGAAATGTATAATGCCAATTGTGTAACGACGCCCTGGGAATTGCGGATTTATTTGACGCAAAATATAAACACAACGGTAAAGCTTTTACTCAACACCTCAGCCATTTTGTATCGAGAACTCGTGCATAGTTCAGCGTGTTATCTAACTCTAACACTCGCTTGAAATTTCGACATCAGTAATTTGTACTAATGCCTTTCCGCTGCAAGATCTAAGGCACGTCATATAAGTACTATAATCGTCTTAAAGGCTGTGAATTAAATGAAAAAAGGCCAACGCTTGGCCGAGGATAGGTTCGATCGAATATGATCTAAGTTCGTACTCAACCGTCTAAAACCGGACCATAACATAATTGGTGTGACCTTAAATGTGATTTGAAATTATGATCCAATTTTTTATACTAAATATGAATTTATAAACTAACTGTATGTATATCCGCGTAGACTATGCATGCAGCTTGAATGAGAGGACACGTGTCTGCCTTAGACAAGGCATGCGCCGAAGGACGGCCCGTTTAACGTCATCGAATCGCATAGATCAACACATCGATCATCTCGGTACTTAGTGAATTAACTGACTATCTGATGTGTTCACCCTTCATCGATTTCAGGACCTAGTCCTATTGTGGTCGATCCGATTAGCCTTACGACACTCGGATACGCCAGTGCTTCTTCTATCCTATTGTACACTGTTGACCTACAGCCTATTTAAAACAACAGATAGAATTAAGCATGCCAGTTCAGAACAATGTTTTTTTCAGTCTGGCAGAAGCTAGATCGTTGACAGATTTGTGATTTCGATGCAGCTGCCGTTGAGATAGTCTGCTTGAGGCACATTAGTGTAAGGCAGTAATAATTTAAGCGAGCGGATTATTTGGTATTTGGCTAACGCCCCCATAAACGAACGTTCAACCTTTTTCTTTTACCGTACATTGATTCTCTAACCTCGTGTAGGCACTACCCGCTTATTCTAAGCCTTACGATACGATTATACAACTTTGATCAGAAGCGAGGTTAAAGGCCCCGCCAATCGCGAACTAAATTATTTGTAAGGGTTACCAGATACCATTGTCTAGTAAGTACGCGTGCATCGCTATGCGTGACTACACATTAGCTTCTGAGCACCAAAAAATCACTTACTCAGAACCTAACTCAGTCACTCGCTCACTAGGCAGAATCTTATACAGACTCAAACATTCTGTACAAGTGACGCGCATGAATGAAGTCTAAGTTCCAAGTATATAAATGCCGTTTAGATTTCCTTGCGAAGAATAGATGCGTATTGCATCAAAAAGGAACGAAATCTTATTCTATCTTAGCTAGCGTGACCTCTTGAGCTAATTATTGTTCATAGGATATCCTAGCAGTGGTTTGCACTAACTATGTAAGCAGATTGTTTGCGGTACGTCACGTAACTGCACAGTGACAATAACGAAAACGTACTAGTACGTCATCTGAAGTGTACTACCGTTTTGGGTTTTATATTATATCTATTTAAAGTTGTTTGGTCCACGCTTATCACGTTCATATCGACAAAAGCAGGCTTAAGCTTGCATAGTTTCCGTGCCAACAAATATAATTGTATGGCTGGTAATAATGATAGTTTCCATATATGCCCTGACCCTTGTTCAAGATCGCTGTTTGTATTCAGCACCGGCGGTTTTGTTTCTTTCGGGCGTTATTGCAAAGTAGCATCTCTAAACGAACGATGACATATTTATCGCTAGAAAAAATGTTCATGTATTTATAATAATAATCTCGAATGTGTATCATTTCCAAGAATTCGATAAGTCTAGCCTATACATAGGTTGATTTTTCTATTTTAGGTAGGGGATCGACGTAATTCCACGCCTATTATTGCAGAAGCGGCTCATCTCGAGAAAAGAAGCCAGGCCTAAGTTAATCAACAAGGAAATATGGCAGCAAAGCTTGTAAACGATAATCGTATCGGTTGAGATTTGCATAAAGCAAACAATATGACTAAAACAGTCAGAGTAAATGGCTTCATCTGCTTTTTGGTGAGTCGTACTCGCATTGCATCTCCCCCTCTGTCTCTCGCTAACAGTTTCCACCTTTCTACAAGTCATAAACAACACTCACGCCTAAATATATATATATATATATATGAGTTGAGAAGGTTTACTTGTGTGTGTCAAGCACCGATTTCAGCAATCCTTGCGCTGCATAGAGGCGATCGCCATAGCAACTGTGTTGCATCTATATAACACTATTCAAGCTCGTGCGACAGGAAACCAGAGTGTAGGCCCACTCCAGTAACACACGCGAGCGCCGCAGCGACATCGGTGACTTTGTGGGTGCATGACCGAGCGGTCCACGCAGACGACAGGACAAAAAGTCCGTGCTGACTATCGCTAAGATCATCAACTCAATGGGCACCTGATGCACACATTCAACTTGCGGTATCTCCCCGCTATGCTAGCACTGCTACCACGATGACTATTGTAGCTTCTGACGACGCAAACGGCAGTAAATAGCTAGAAAGAAGGCTGCAAGTGTCACACATCTGAGGATCCACAGGACTACAAACTATCTACATAACAATGGTGACCGGGCCAACGTTTGATGGTAGGGTTTTGTCGACGACTATTAACCCATGAGTAGATACGAAGTGCATATATTCTGTATGATAAATCTGTATAGGAAATAAGGATGGGAGAAGCACGCTGCCTTTTAGGTCTTTTTGGAACCTAATGAGTGATTCGTGTGTAAACGTGCACCTATCGTCGTCGTATAGATTTGTAAAGCAACCAGCCAGCACAGCAGCCAAAAATAATTCTGCCACTACTTTCAAAATAGCTCGTCGCAAGTGACAGTGCATTTGATATTAACCTTAGTCCATACTGATCTACCGGTATCGCTACCAAATCGATTTGTGAGGAGCTCTTATCAATAACGCTGGAAGTGAGGTATGTTATAACGCGTATCAGCAAATATCTTCCGAATTTTTACCTATTCAGTACTTCTCATTCCGGAAAATAAGCCCGTTACCGGTTGGAAATCTGTGCCTACCTGAACTATTAAAGCACGTAATGAATATTACTTTTTTAAGCTATATTAATTCAACATCGAGATTTCTTTAATATGAACGATTGAAAATAGTAGAACTGCTGGAAGTATCTAAAAAAACACTCCTACAATAAAGATGATAGTAATGATGATTACCGAAATTATTCTTTGTGCCTTAATTAAAGACTAGTAGAATCTTCTCATCCAAGCCAGGTCCTACCATGGTTGCCTGGTCATTTCTACATCATCACTTGCGGCAGATACTTTACCCTCTGTTGTTATTGTTTTGGCCGACTTCTTATGATGTGTTTTCTTTCTATTTATCCTATCAGATGTACAAATGAACATACATTCGTGAAGAACTCGAATCTGTCATTCACGCCATACGGCGGGCAAGCGGTATATACTGAAACACGTGTTTCTGCACGCCCGATCACCATAGTTCTAGTTTTCGTCAAAAGAAACGTACGCTAATGAGTGCAGGACAATGCATCTGTTACAGGTGCTCTGGAATATGAGGAAGAGCTGCCGCTGTTCTCTACGCCATACATATGCTTTGGGTGTATGCTAATGGTTCATCACATACTATAATGACAACAATGACTTTTTGAAATCGTTTCAAAGTAAAGGTCCCATGTGGATTATAGATAAAGACGACGACAGCTCGATGTGTTAAGCCTCATTAATGAAAGATGAAATTTTCCAGTCACGAAACATGAAGTTTATTGTTTAACGCTATCTGCAATATTTATTTTCTTCATTTCGTCACACCTTTCAAATAACATCTGAAGGAACTTGAGTCAGCTACCGCTCGCCTTCGCGTATGTAGTATTTTATGCAAGCGGACACAACAAGCTGTGCCATACGATTACAACGCGCCCTAACACTTAGGTGTTTTCCTGGACTCCCGATAAAAAGGTAATATAACAGTGCAAAAAAGAACTTGTCTAAACATTTAGAAACGCCGACTAATAGACGAGTCGAATTCAATTTTCTCCTGCGAACGGTTCGTGCTTGTTCTTGTTAACGTTGTTGTCCACTGTCATTGCCTACTACTCTACTCGAGGAGACCCTGACATCGGACATTGCCGGCGATGTCAGGGACTGAATCAAGCGAGACCACCGAGCGACGTGGCAGCGCGAGTGTATATGGAAAACGAAAATACTTAGCAGGTATGTTTATCTGTTGGTACTAGGTGTGTGTATATATATACAAAATTTGTAAGTCCCACAGTCACCCATTGTTACTCTATTCTTGAAAACAAGCGTGCTCTGGTTCCGAGCCGGCATTTCGCCTACTAATATCCTCTACGGGCAGCAACCACCATCGCTAGAGCTACCGTCATCATATTGTTCGTGAATCGCACGGCATGATCAGCACGCGAACTATCGACAGCGCAGTTACGATGATACGTCCGCTCTCGCACGGCGGCATCTAAACAATGGCTTGTTTAGACCACAGCCGAACGAGGCCAGATAGCGCAGAGAAAAGTGCATGATTGCGCACTCCGATCATGATTATATCGAAATAAAAAAATGCTGTGTTAAATCGTTCCCTCAACGGACTTGCATTATATTTTCCATAACAACGATGTAAGTGATCTAGGATTCGAGGTGATTGTATGTATGTCCATGACGATTTTACCGACATCAAAATCGTGTTAGCTTCTTGAACGTTTCTGTTTTTCAGTGAAGACTTTCAAGAAACTATGGTGTTCGTGTTGCATATAGACAACGATCTTTAACAGGGGTCTGCCTCTATGAGAGCTACCGTTATTAGCAGTTGTGCGGATACATACATTTTCGGCCCGGATCATTACTGTAGGAATCTACGACAAGTCAAAAAAAGATATGACTGCAAGTTTCGTAGAATCGTCGGCTGGCAGATTTCTTCGATGGAAGAAACGTTCTTATCGTCTTTAAAACGACGCTAAATTGTAGAGTTTTCCTTTTTTTTTTCGTCATTTTTAACACAAGCCAATTATGCTGCATGCGCTCCTGATTTTTCCGCCCGTAACTTGCTTTGAGAGTGCCATCGTATAGCTGCAACCGAGATCGACCGAGAGTGAAAAGCATAGAAAGGTGCCTGAAGTGGCAGAAGGGGGAAGGGACGAAACTACCAATCACATATAATTAGTAGTTCGGCTGCGTACCCTATGTCACTTGACTACGACAACGGTATAGGTAAGCTGATTCTTTCTAAGCAAGGTGTACACAGTATCTGCTCTTGATAATGCTACAAGTCGCCTAGCGTTTAACACAAACGATTCCGATTATCGGTAAGTGTCTGTCCGAGAACGAACTTTCACTAAGTAACTAAAACAGATTTTTAATTGGTACCGTCTGAGAGGCCAATCTTACCTCTTCTTAAACGAACCAGCTGCACTAAATCTTGCGAGGATCAGTGTACTTCGATTTACCTTGAATCGGTTCTTCGTCAATGACTAGAAAAAGCCGTTGGCTTGCACTGACGCAGTATTTTAGAAAATAATATTTACGTTACGTTTAGGACGACGGCAGAAATACGTCTGAGCAGCGAAACTCTAGTCATGCAATCAAAGACTTTTTTGAACTACCTCTTTTCCTGTCTTGTGAACGCACCTTCGGGCTGATGGGTTTTGTCAATGCCGCATACGACACAGGTACGAACAGACTGCAGGACGATGCTGGAGCTGGCCGTCTTGGGAGCATATCTGCGCTAATGTTTCAGTTTCATCGTTTCGTAGCCTCGAGCCAGGCCATTCGGGAATTCTGTGTAGGCAAGAGAATATCTTTCAAAAACATCATTATGATTCAACCCACGCCGAATTATCTCCCCCGGCTATTCGCAAATAAAAAGCATTCGAAAAAAAAAGAGACCAAGCAGAGGTGACAGTTAAATCGACTGATATAGGATTAACAGGCTACACTAAAATAGACCCGCTGGAATAAATAAGATATCAACCTATGAATGCATGTTGCTTTACACCTGGCTCACTGACAAACCTGTTTTGTATAATTAAGATGACGTTTCCGTATATAAGTCTCTCTATTTTTCCATTAGGCATTAAATAATTATTATAGACAGGGTCAGTGCCCTCTCTGCCGTTCGGCTCTTCACGCAATTGATAAACAATATCGACGCTCTCCTTCATGTTACTTGTTCATTCTACTTCGAAAGTCGAATTACCCCCCAGTGATGTGACAAGATAAATGTTGCCGTCATAACCTTGTCTCGACGCAGACATCCTTTTCATGGGACTATAGTATAGTTCAGCTAGCGTTGCTGGCCTTACCGTCTTTTTTGGGGCATCACTATACTAAACATCAAACACATGCACTCATCGTTTGCTTTACGACCGGACAATTGCGAGAGGATAATCGAACCAAGATCTAGCGACCCTGACGTCGCCGCCGTCATTCGACAATAGAAACGGGGCAAAAAGACAGTGATTCTTCTACAATTCTAATAGCGGTCGCTGGTAGCTCATTGCTGAGAACGCCACCAACGGATAAAAATGGAATGGGCGGCAAATTAGAGCTGACTTGCAGGTGGCGCCAATACATAATGTCGACGCGCATAGTTGATACAGAGCAACTAGACAGAAGGCAATAAAGAGCATCTTCGTTGTTCAAATAGACGAAAATGAGACGTACAAACAACGTCACCGCCGCCGCGTCATCGTAGCGGTTATCATACTCGTGCTATCGTACTTACTAATAACTGCGACAAGAACGAAATTCACCCACGTTGTACATGTACAAGTACGAACGTACGTGTAAGTGTGCGTGTGTGCTTATTCGACATTTGCTTGTCGTTTCTTTTCACCGTTATCGAACTTTCGGCCCGAAAATACCTTATTAGATTTTGATCAGCAACACCTGCTCGCACGTTGAAACGGTATGGAAAATTTTTTCTCGGGAGAAACTCCTAGCCCTTAAAAATGTGTGGATTTGTTTTTGGTAACTTCGAAAGAGTTCGTATTTGAGCAAATTACTCAAGACGACAATTACTCTGTTGTCACAAGCCATTTCAACGCCAGTATAGTGCGGAAGCAAACTGAATAGCAGTCGATATAGTCTTCACAGAGGCCGAAAGCGTATAATACCTTGTTAGTTCGGCATCCAGGACGAACAACGGTAACCACGGCCATGAGCTGATAGTCCTAACTCAAATCATATAGAAAATTGTGAAGTTACAGCTGGGAGATGGCGAGCGCAACTCAGGACCTCATGTGTCCAGGGCCTTCTCTAGATGGCAGTCGTTACTCGGCAAGCGCTTCTACTTTTCAAGCGCAAAACTTCTCTTCAACATCTTAACCGTTTTAAATTATCTTTACGCTACCTGCAGCAGTATACTGTGCTAATAGATAGTTAAATAGCTCAATTTAAACAACGGAGACGTTTGAGATTAGAAAGTATCGTACGACCGTAACTTAAGATCAAGGCTAACAAAATGAATGGCAGAGTTGTGTAATTTTAATAGAGGCAAAACGTTTCTATATATCACATGTTCGGGTTGATATTGACGATAAGGCGATTAGGGCTGACATCGATGTTGTCTTACAATTTTCGACGGTGCCCGACAGATGCATCTTTAACGACATAGAAGTTTTATGTAATAGATAAGATTCTATTGGTGCCGCTGCACGGGCCCACGCGCTGTGCAATTAACCCGACAACAGCTACAGGACTGTGTCAATTTCGAAAAGTAAATCATAGCGAACTCAGTCTTTATTTTTAGAGTATTTACAAGCGAATGTGTCTATTAGTCGCTTTAAAAAATTCATTCTGCAGGACGACGGAGCGACAGACGTTAGCTGTGAGCGATGTCAGCTTCACGTGCCGTACTCCTGTGCCTACGTTCTCTGAGCATAAGCGTGAATCGTGGCCGTGTCTATTATTTTGCCGACCGGCTCCAAATCGTTAGAGTTACCAGTCATTTAGCCGATAACGAGATTTTTGCAAATAAATGATCACAGAGTGCTGTGTGATCGCATCGATGTCTATTTGACATTTGTGTAAGTTTGCTGACAGCCATCTTAGTCATCACGTGATATTACGGCAGCTGATCAACCAGTCGCGGAATACAGCCGGCCGGTTACGGAAATATGTCGTTATAGATTAATAATATAGCACATATGAACCTGTACTTTACACTGGTCCTACATCTATACGAGACAACGCTATAAAAGCGAGTCTGTTCGTCCAGCGTTTGTCGAAGCAATGAACTTAAGAGAAAGCATTATCTATGATACGATATTTCCACTCTGGATGTGATCATGGATACCCCTGTCCAGCTACGTAAATCGTACGTAAATTATCCGTAAGCAATTCCCATGGGGATAACAGCTCTTGGCGCTAATAAAGATCAATGGTTTTTCTTGTCGCCAATTTTGAGTAAATTTCAACCCTGAATTCCGATCTTCTCATTATCTTTATCTTTACGGATAGAGCAGTTATGTCTTATCCGTGCTTTGTCTTATTATTGATCTTTAATACAGACATCACCGCAGGATGTAGATCATCACCACAGACCTGTACAAGTTATGAACTTAGAAAACCTACGAACTGACGTAAGATTGTCGTGTAATTAAAGTCAGATTAATACCGAGGTGCTGAACCGGCATGTTCTTCGACTGGTCTATTCGATATTCAAGAGACCCGGCGTAGTCAGATCTCATCGTTCGCACCGGTAAATAGTCCACTAAGAGCAAAATCGATTGCTGGAAAATGATGCGCTCTTAAGGCCGTAAAGATATTGAAGGGCCGCTGATTTGTCTTCGTCGGCAAATGTTCGACACTGCGTTTCAACACTCTGCCATGTTACGCCTCTTTCCCTACTCACTATATAATCATTAGAGAAAAGAAGAGATCAAAATGAACTGCTGGGACGCGTTCGGGTGAAATAAATACAAAGCTGTACGAAGTAACATCTGCGGTACACGTGCGTCGACATCAGCGCCATCTGCCAGAAAGGCGAGACGAAACGATTAGAGCAGAGTGACGACTGCCCCCTGACTCGATGGATATGTGCTTTTGACAAAATGCTTCCAACCATTGCGTAGTCTTCCTATGCATTCGGTAACGCACCTGTAACATGTATGTGTAAGTGCAGGCCTAGACAGGACGTAGATTTCGTATTATTAAATATTTAATGTTATCGAGTACAGGCTGAACAAGGTATCTAGCAGACTCTCTCGTTGTATATATATCTGTCGAACAATGCTCATTTTGTCGCAGTAGCATTTAACTTGTCATCATCATTATCATTAACAGGACAAACGAACCCACGAAAAAACCCAGTGAGATTAATTAACGATGCTACCACCAATGATTGCGTATGCGCAGTTTTACTAGTCATTATATAGACGGGGAGATTTCGTATTTTCAATGACATCGCTAGTTAGGTGGAGACATTCAATGAGACGTATGTTGTTTTAATCTAAACTAGAGAGACCATACGATCAAAGGGATTTCAACTACTTTTATTGTAGGTATACACTATTTTTACTTTGAGCCGGGAACTTTTCACAGTAAGTCATATACTTTTCCATACGAACCCGATAGCAAACTGTTCGATTTGGTTTGTCATCTTTTTTATAGTAAATAAATCCATATTAAAAAAGACGAAGGGTGATTCCTAGTGATAGGAAAAAACAAGTGTGTAGCCTATCCGTTACCAACCATATCACGGCACCAAGAACGGCAAACGATAAGTGCTATCGCTTGCTCACTATCCGCCATTAAGGCCGATTTGACCATTAATATACCAGTATATAACGGGACATCTTCCCTAACAGCGAAGCAGTAATGAACCTTACAAGCGATATTATGAACCGACTTGTAAAGAACATTTCACCGATCTAGCTTAGCTACTAGCTGTGGCTTGAAGGTACAGTAAGACATGTTCGAAATGAATAAATCTCTGCCTGCATAACAGCAGTGACCGAAAATGCCAGCTGGCTGCAGTCCGATCTGACGAATTGCGGAAACTTCCACTTCTCGCGACGCGCCGCAACAGATTCAGTCAATGGAACAACTCTTCCCATATCACGTCTGGCTTATATCCGTATTTCTTCTTCTCGATATATTTGTGTGTTAGAAAGAGAAAGGAGAGGACTCCTGGAGCGCTGTACTCTGCACGGTCAAAGGCGCGACCAGAGAACTAGTACAATCGCACCCATATCATAGTGACGAGATAGTCGTAACTCATGTATTAGCTGAGATGGCAAACAAAACTGTTAAAGGGTTTGGCATCGTGTCTGAAAAAGTAGTGGACACTTCTAACAAATAACAGAAGAAAAATGAGTCCCAATCAAACTTCTGTAAAGAACTTATATCGTTTGAAGGTCGAAAGTACGTTACTATTATGGTAAACTGGTAAATGGAGATGAAACGAAGTGGTACATGGGGATGTTCTCTTTTCATGTTCAAAAAGTGAAAGCTTTTTCGTGAAATAGCTTCCTCATCTTCCCCCACGAAACACTGAAAGGTCTGTGCGAAAGATACGAAAGGCCTATTCGTGTATTTTCCACTGGAATGGAATTACCGGTTAAAAATAGAACAAGGCCCGAATATTTTAGCCTCAATATGAAGCACAATATGTTGACGAAACTTTGGAACCCATTTATATTTTTTTAAGTACACTCTTAACTATTTCTGAGGCAAAAGGGAGCAGGCATACGGAGTGCTGCATGATGGTACGATACACAAAATAGTTTCTATTCTCATTGCCGGAGGACGCGGGGCAATGGCACATCGTTATCAAACGTACGTAAGTAAAGGGCCCGAACACAAATGTTTTTGGTCGACAAAACTATATTAAATATCAACTTTAAGAGACGATTCGAAAATCGTGATTATAGCACTTAGCTAAATTTTCTAATTAAAGGAAAAACATTTTCCTGAGACACATCAAATAAAACTGCGCTAAATCTGCCTACATATTGTTTAAAGATGTTAAACATCTTTTAGAGATTTCATTCACACAACGTTAATTAGATCCATATGATTCAGATTTATAGGTTAGCAATATTCACTGCTACCGTTATAGAAGCAAGCTATAATGTGAACATAGGAAAGTGGAAAAAAAGGGCCTTTCGGTAGGTGTAAATCCTTAAATCTTAACTTTTGACCCTTACTGTTTATTTACTAGGTATTCACACTTGAGCATATTAAAATAACTAATGGGAAAGTAGTTGAAAAAAGCATAATGCAAAATACAGATAAAACCGTATACATCAAAAGAGGATGAATAGGACATCACAATAGATGAAGAAATCTCTTTTAGCGTGGAAAAAAATCCTATTCTAGGTGTTCAGTATTCTGTTATGTTGTACTTTGCAATAAAGTTTGTCTAAACTTGGCCGAATCACGTGCTTTGAACTCCAAACTAAAATACTTCTTAAATACGTCCAGTTAGAGTTCGGCTGTTGAGAAATCCGCGTTTATATTTGCCGAGCTTGTTTTACGTAACTTAATTATCTGGTGCACGAACTTATTCTTGAAAATTTGCCAGTTTCGGTAATAGGCGGCGTAAAACATAGCCTGGCATAAATTAGGACTACATTTAAAACGAAAAGCGAATTGTTTATGAAGCACGCACAAAGTCCTAAAGTCTATAGTCTAATCATTGTGCCTTAAGCATATGCGTCTACGTTTTAGCAGAGGTATTGACATTTTCATAAATAAGACCGATATTATGTTTATTCAAGCCTAGGTTTCAAGGCTGTCAAGGGAATGAAAGAGAGGAAAATGGTAATCAAATCAATGATGAATAAAATCTAAATTTTATCACAATGCGATGTTTAGTGCACGAAAATTGTTTATCTATACAGATCTCCCGAACGTTTCTGGTTTTAGAATATGCAGACGGCCGGCCCTGGTGATAACTGTGTGAGTGCATCAGACAAGACCTCATGCTTCAGGTTTTTACGGAACTAAGTGGACAAATATGAACATTGAACAATGATTTTGGTTAATTACAATTTTAACAAATAATTTAAAAAGTCACCTACACTCACCGAGATCGCTGCGGACCTCTTCAGTTCCTTCAACACTCCCGTTCATTGTAATTTTGAGATTGTATCCATTTTTGGAATACAGCTGTACATAACGTCCGAGTCTGGGACTGCTCGGCCCCCCAGCCATTATGTGATGCCGATGGCGGATTGGATGCTTTGTTGGGAGTACCATTTTCTTCTTATATTTTGGCTTCCTAGTACTTCCATTTGGTCTCAACACTGCCGGTCTCTTCTGCTGTGTATGAGCGAGGTTTCGCGATTGCGCCGATCCGAAACCCTCACCAGGTTTTTTGTGGTCTTTACGGTAACGCGGGCTAGCGACAGGCTCCTGATCTAAGTTTATTGGACTGTTTATAGAGTCGTCGATGGCCTGATCAGCCTGGTAGTCTTCGTCACTTTCCTGGGATGTGGAATCGTCTTCTACACTAAAAACCACTTCTTCATCTTCCGATGAGGACATTCTGCTGGCATGCCGTTTGTACGACCCTCGACCTTCGTTTGACCAATTTCCCACTTTGTCATTAAATAGCTCGTTGGATATTGTTCGCACGACGCTGCCACGGTGCTCTCGTGAATGCTCATAACTTCCCGTGGCCGCGCTGGTAGGCCCTGGTCTGTCTGAGTGAGCTTTCCTTGTCGGGGCCCCCCGCGTTCCGCCGGCCAGTGCCAGCAGGAGCAGGCCGGCGACGAAGATGACGTCGAATGCGCGGGAGGCCGTCTTGTCATAGCATATCGCGCCCAACGTGAACAGCTAGTTTGCCCTCGGCTCCTTCGAGACGTCCGCCAGACGCAGTCAACCAACGGAGAATTTCAGGACAACGTCAAAAAAAATTGAGCCAAAGCTCCCGCTAGCGCCTAGAATCCAAGAAGAGCTGTCTGGATTTTGGGCCGCAGGGTTGAGATGACGATCGTTGCTTTAGAGAACCCTGCTGAATCAGCACCGGAGAGAATAGTCATTCCTTAGATAGCCTCAATAACGTTCTTGGATGGACGCTGTGAGGTTTTAATCGTTCCCTCATTTATTCACAAAAACTGTAGAAAGAAGACCATCAGTTTACTGACCCTGTATCATTCACAATTCACAGTTGTCATTGCACGCATCAAAATAGTACGACGCACACGCACTCAAATTGATCAAAGTCACACTCACGTTCGCTTTGTTAAATAATGTAGGTAAGCGCATTTGCGTCTATGCAACGCTATTGTATGCAAGTCTCTTTAGACGCATACAAACCTACATGCGTAAGGACACTATGATAACAGTAAGATTTTTAGTTGATTTTTCTCTTTTAGCCCGTTCAACCTCGCTGAAAATATCTTCGTGGGAGACACAAAATATACACGAGAGCTGATAGTGTCACATCGTCGTAGTCGTTTGATGATCAGCGATTTGCCAAATCATCGTCGGCAGCGGTTAGAGTCAGAGACTTTTCGCATCCCATCCGGCCCCTTTGGTCGGGGGCGCGCTCTGGTTATCTATCTCCCAGCTCGGGGCGGCCGGACCGGCTTGCGCCCATGTGTTCGCATGCCTCTCCAGTCCTTTCCCCAAAGTCCCTTGCCGTCGGTTACCCTCTCCCAGGACGGGAGGAATAAGACGACGAGAAAGAAGAGCACTACTGTCAGGCAAGAGAGCACCAGCAAAAGAAGGACGATAGCGCTCGGGACGGAAACGTGGAGAGATAGTGTAGCACTTTGTGTTGACTGGCAATAGAGCTAGCTATTAAGTGTCAATAAAGCCCAACAATCAAGTATAAACATATATGAGTTGGCCATGCGATAGTCTGGCTCGCTTCAATAGATTAGGTATGGTTAAAGTGAACCTGATTTTATAGACCTGTGTATCACATTTTGTGTGTGGCTTAACATTGTAGGTTGATTTCGCTGGGTATGGCAAAAAAATATACATTCCGAAAAGCATACAAAATACGAGCCCCAGCCTACAGTAGAACTTTGTTTTGCAAAAGCTAGAATTTTCTCACACGAACTGGCGCACTGCTTTCGCGACCCGTTTCTAGTCAGATTGTAACGATCTATGGCAATTCTATCTAACGTTACATCAAGTATTCTTATGTTAGGACATATATCTATATAGGCCCGATATCGCCGTATTTAAGTTTACTTGGGTCAATGAAGAAGCTGTTCTAATTGACGCTCTCTGATTGACAGATACTGAAGGTCAGTTCAAACGATTTGTTTACGATGTTGTTAATGTTAAAAACGTTTTACTGTCTTTTATTTTTTCTTATGTTTTTCCAAATTCGTTTATACAAGTAGCATTATTCTGCCACCCAGCATGAGTGCATGTATCTATATGAGCAGAATGTCATTTATATATGTATAGACACCATACATAGAGCCGTTAGTGAAATCAGACGGAACCAATTGTCAATGTAACAAATTCGTCATTAAAAAAACGTACTTGTCAAAACAAATCTCATTATTCAGGACTGTTTCTTGACGCTGTAAAATTACAGGGAAAGATTATCTAGAAAGCCGACTCTGAGTAATGCAAGTAGAATCTCGATTAGGCTCCTTTTTTTGGACTAGCACATCGAGGGTCATCGTATCGGCGATAGTAGTATGCACTTGGAAAGTCTTAGCTTACTATTTTATCAGTACCAGCCATTTGATAAAGCGGTGAAGCATAGTTGAATGTGACAGTCGGCACGTACGCATGATTGCCAAGTGATACACTTCGTTGAAGGGTGATGTTTTGTTCGGGTCATCTTTACAAAGCCACAATGAACGGACCGGGCGACGGATGAGAGCGTCATCGAACGCCAACGTGTGCCAACATTGAGTGTACGCTAGAGATAAGCTAGCGCTTAACCGGTTACCCGTTGGGCCAATAATAGTCAGTGCTATCAGGCACCTGTGCAGCATACCCGCTTCTTTCAGGCTCTGTTTGCTTGCGCACCTCGCCCCGTCGGCGGGCGGTGCGAACATTATTCCAAAGCTGATACTAGGTGCGTGTACCGCAGCAGCCTTACTTACAACAGCAGAAAGGCCATGTAAAACAGCAGGCCATGAAAATCGACATGTTAGCTGAATAGGCGGCTTACCCGGCCGGAGTGCAGTCCACACTCCGCCATTTATATATATATATATATACTACAAGAGCATGTATACGTACTCGTAGTAACTAGAGCTGTAAACCTTGCCGACTTCCGACCTGAGCGAGACGCGAATATATCAGTGAAAGTAGCCGCAGGCTGTGGTCGGCGGTGGTCTACGGTATGCTCTTCATCGGGCAGGAACGGGCGGGACCGGTAGCGAATCGGTCGTCAGCACCTTGAGGGAGCACAAGAAAGCTGGGCAGGTAGTCATAAAAGAAGAGAGTATTCTGTCTCGCTTGTAAGACTCATCATCACCCACAGCGTGCGTCATCCGTCTGATTGTCTGTTGCATCATAGATCGTGCATAACAGATAAATCGATAAGAATGGTCTGATTACAGCCGGGCAGAAAATGACCGTGATGTCGCCCATGCTGTCAGTCCTCTCGTTCTTCGGGCCGGTAATAAGTTCTTACGTGTTGTCCGGTTGGTCCTACAATCATCTAAGCACGTAGTCATCGAGCAGTTAATTACTATCAAAAGCAATGATAACAATACGACACACGGAAGCCTGATCAGGTCGTATGAAAAGTGTGTATCTTAAAATATAAACAATCATCTGCAATGGTCGAAGTAATCGTTGAATATCTTACATACATCTTCCGATGGGTATTATATATATTGCTGATGTAGGAACCCACTGTCGTATAATATCCTATAATGGGATAGAATTTCAATGAAAACACAAGGCTGCCTTGGAAGGCCTCTGTGATTCACTAGTAAAATGAACAATTAGGTAGCTGTATTGCAGGTTTCCAGAGTAGGCCTGACTGTCACTAACTATGCGTAATCCGTACCTGACCATCAAAGTAATTTGCTATACCTAAATGTACAGTGCGTCTTTGCCCACCTTCTACCGACGATTAGACAAATACAACGTAATTCGATTCGGGTCACGTGTAACACTGAACCAAACGCTTAGAGACAGCCAAAACAATAATCGCGTGACCTGCAATCAACACCTGTCTGTGTTTAACGCCGTCTCTAGTAGATGGCTACGGGCTGACTTCTTTAAGGCGCACGCCGCCAGTAACGTGGCGTCGTCGTTGTGCGATATTGCGCTACGACAAGCGTTAAAGGTAGATACAATACAGCGGTATGTTGTGATATACCTAGGTAAACCTCGGACTCATACTGTGATGGTGACGACACTAGCTCGGTTAACAAGTGGCGATTCTAGCGTTTCCTGCAGCCATAGTAAGCACATGGAATAGTTTGGCCGGCTTCAAATTGTTTCTGCATTCCTAGAACGCGACAGAGGGAAGACGCTGTCGGTTTTAAACGATAGGTTTTATACTATTAATGATAGATATATCTGTGCTGCAGTAAAAGATGTTACATCGCTACGTTCGTAACCGTCGTAATCGCTATTTTTTTAATTTTAGTATCCAATTGATTGCTACATTCATCGGATTATCTAACAATTCAAGTTATTTTGTTAAAGGCTTATCAACGACGGAACGTACTAACCTTATCGATTCCGAAGACACTTTTAGAAAAAGCTGCTATTTTTTAAATATATATACCCGATAGTTTTATTGCGCTTGACAATCTACTAATACTTAGGTTGACTCAAACTTCTGTTTTTCATCAAAAGCTTGTCAACCAAGATGAACCCCGGGATGGGGGAACATTGGTTTACAAGCAAAACAAAGGTAAGCACTTTTGAACGTCGACGCTTTTTCGTAATTCATAAGCTTTCAAAAAAACTGTCTGCTTTTGTTGCTTTATTTTGTTAAGCACTAAAGGACACGTACATTACGCAATGCAAGCGCAGCCTAGACGAAAAGATGTATCTAATCGTTAACATACCGGTCATCTCTCTGACTGAGTTGGTCTCCGGACCGTCTTCCAAAATTGCATGATTTATCTACAAATAGATGACGTGGCCAAAATCACGATAAACATAGCAAGCCTCATTAGACTTTCCGTACGTACTAGTATCGATATGTCTTGTTGATTGACGTTTAACACATAATGGTTCGATGCTCGGAACGATGGCGGTAGCGCTTATCTTGAAATCAGCCAATACAGATATTAAAGATATAGATTTTGATTATTGGACAAGCATTCACTGAAGTAATGAGACGTCTACATGCAAAGGTCGGAAATACAACTCTGAACAAGTTGATATTTTGAATGCAACACACAACAGCTAAAAAAACGACAGTATACGATAGTTATCGTAAATATGGACCCGAACGACGTAACATTTATAACTAAGCTGCTTATTAGAGATAGGAATATTAAAATCTAGAGTGGTTAAAAAAAGGTGCAACCCCAACGCCTTCGAGGTTGACCCTCAGACCTGTGTAGAAATGTATCTTTCTCGTCGAACTTTGTATAATTTTTCATCAACGTCCACATAATTAGTTATTGGCTTTTCTTCATTGGATAGCTGCTTCGTTTTTTCCTTACGCCTAAACTTGTCTTCGTCAAGCGGAACGCGGATGATATTCTTGTCGTGCTCCATAAGGTAGTTGCCTATTGCGACCTCATCCCTATTAAACCACCAATCAATCTTAACAGGTGTTCTTTGGTGCACGTCCAACGCCTCTTTCATAGTGGACACCGCTTCCGATCCGGTCTCTGCAGGAGCTGGTGGGAAATCGGTCAGCACGAACTCGTCATCGTCTTCCGGGCTTGCTTCGGCACTTTCTCCCCACGTCTCTCGGGCTTGTTCATCTTTTTCCTCGTTGGATGCCAGACGGGTGGTGATTCTAGTTTTTGTTGCACGAGACTGGTATCGTGGAGAAAGAATTTTGGGGTTTCGTCTCTGGATATGATTTGTAGACATGAAAGGTACGTGAGACTTTGCGGTTGAAGTCTGTACGACTTTATTGTTTTTTGTTTGTTTGGAAGACAAAGGTGTTTTTCCGAGATTTAGCTGAACCGCTAGGTCCGAACGCGCTGCTTTTTGTGGATGCGTTTTATGTTCTGGAAATGTGTTTTCGCGGACGGAAACATTCAAACTGTGATTCGTAATTGGGCTTTTCTCGAAGCCAATTGTGACGGTTGGAGAATTCTCGAGGTAGGTAGAATCTTGTTCAGTCTTGTTCTTAGTGTACATATGCCCCATTTCGTGTGAACGCGCTGTATTGATTTGACTGCGGTGGTATGGAAATGTGGTAGGTAATGAATGGTAATTTTTTAGGTTTTCCAGTCCTTGTCTGTGTAACTCGTCCCAGTCACCGTCGAAAATGCGCACAAACAAGCTATGACTTTCGACAATTGCTAACATCACGCGGTCTTTCATATCAGGCCAGAAGGGATGTACGAGGCGAGCTGAAACTGAAAGCATGAAAACCAGTGATTACACATTCGATTTTTATGAAAGGGTTACACATCAAACAACATTTGGTAGCTTATGCACACATATACTCGTAATACGTGTGTATATATATATGTATATATATATGCATATCTTAATTGAGCAATACACCTACTACGTATTTCCGTTAATCGCGTGAATTCCAAGTGATCGACCCACTGCCAAACCGAAACCGTCTGCTGATACGGGCTAGACACAACTAAAAAGTTCAGACCCATGTGGCTAATCTTCGTAAGCGATTCCGCTGCATAGACAGGCAGCGAACGACTTTCGACAAACACATCGAATTGTGATTCATAGCGGAACACGGACGCCGACTCACCAAACGATTGTTTGCCACTAGCAAATACGCAAAGGACGGAGTCGTTTCGATGTGTTGGTAATAAGACAACATCGGATGCCCCACGAGTGGAAACAGTATTTATCCGCTGAAACTGATTGAAATGAAGTTGTTATACATCTTTGGCAAAGTACTCATACATCCGAAAGGCGCAGCCTCGCCACCTCAGTACTCTAGAATATTTCAACATTTTCACTGCTTAAATTATTTCAAACTAAAATTTAGAACTTATACCTTGCAGTAAGTCTATGAGTGGATACAGTTTGAATCTCTACTGATTCTATCGCTTTCTTAACTATAGGTCATCTTTGTCTCGGAGTAATGATTTGTTGCGCTAAATCTCAGTGTAGATCACTATAGATTTAGCTTACAAAGTGCGTTTCAAAGCGACCTGTAAGTGGGTGATTACTTCGGGAAGCATGTCTTAAATCACCACACTCCACCTTTCCTCCAACACTCTTTTGAATCCCGTAAATGAAATCTGTAGTATAAAGGTAAATAATAAATAACTTTAATTAAACATGCATCAATTTTTCAGCTTCAGAATTTCTAAAGGGTCTTTGACTAGGCCTATAAGTATCGTCATATAATTTAATTTTCTCTTCCCAAATCTCGTCCGTTACGGCCCATATTTTATAGGATTCGAATTTACCGTCCCGAATTCGGTTTTGTTATTTTAATGGGACTCAAGAATATGAACTGGACTGAAAGAGGAGATCAAAACTGAAGAAATGATTGCTTCCGTAAATAAGCAAATCGTCTGCATAGAGGAGAACCTTCACCAAATGTCTGGGGATCTTTAAATGAAACTGAAAAACGGCAGGGGCAGGCCACAATTGCAGTCTGGGATCCGGAATCCCATCATCGATTGTAACTCATTGCTGTTAAGTTAAGCGCGTTCGCGGAAACGTCAGGGTCGGTGAGGATGTTGAAAGCTAAATTCCTTAAAGCGAAGTCGAAAGCAGCTTTGAAGTCTACAAACACCGCCTAGGTGTACATCTGAGAGCTACTTAAAATTCACTTCGTATTCACAAAATGTACCTTACACGTCGCTTTGATCGAGTGCAAAATCCCGCGCCGGTTGGCTTGAGTCATTCTTGCCTTTTGGGATAACGAGAAGTGTTCCATCTAGCTAAGGAAAAAGAAATAATCCAGAACAAAGACGTTCGTTCAATGTAGCGGTCCAACTCAACGCCAGCTGTACGGCGGCCTCGAGATGTTCATTCCAGATACTTTTCCGATCTCGCTGTTTTCTTAAGCCTAGAATTTCGAGCACCTGAGTGTAAAACGGAGAACTTTTGGCACAGCTTTTTGCGCTTGCTCGCTATTAGTTTGTTCCACGCTACGCTACGCTAAGCGGTGAAACGCCTCGTAATACAGTGTTAGTAGATTGAAATGCTCTAGCGAGGTCGATGAGTACCGCTAAGGCGATAAACACGACGTAGGCCTGCGCAAGCTAGGTCATTTATATAGCTGATGTTCGGCTTGTTATAGGAATGGCTTTCTGTTGTTTTAGGTACTTTGCACGTTGGATAGCATATATCTTTTTGGCTGATCACTTTAGACCCCGCCGTCAGCGGCCTTGCTACAAGTTGCAGTGTTGGCAGTAGTCTAAAGGTAATCGAACCATAGCCGATGTCTCCTGAGGTGGGCTGGATAAACCGCAGGTTCCGTAATGTTAACGAAAAAAACGTGAATAGGCCTCAATATCAACCGAGTTTGGCACTGGGAGGACCTCATGAGACCGTTTCAAGAGTTTCTCCTTGAATTCAAATTATGCGATGAAAGCTAATTCTTCCTAAAGGGACCTTAAGATCTAATTAGGAATGGGTACCTAGAGCTGTCCTTCTTCGTGGAGAGAGTGATTCTTTCTGATGTATTTGATTTTATCGCTGCGCGAATTTGCTGTAAAGGTGTCTATGATAGAGGTTCCTGCACGACTGACAAACGTTGATACCGTCGTGGAGTTAACTATCTAGCTTTGACGTTCCATTGGCGTCTTGAAGGGCCGACGAGCGGCTCGAGGCGGATTGATCCAAGCATGCATTGAAGTCTCCTGCCACGGCCTTTCGCTTCTGCGCAGAACAATGGTCGGAGTAAGATTTTGGTAAGTCAAATGGGCTGGTTGCCCAGCTTCATTGGCTCGGATTTTTAGGCAAGCGCGAACCTAGCAGAGTTTCACTATTTGTAAGCAAGCCATAGTCGACTGTATTGGCGTACGGCTCTGAAGACACCACTACGTGGATGGAATTTGCCATTTTCCGAGAGTTATGCACGATAAACACAGAACGATGTATTGGATAGGCAATTTTGTTTAGCAATATTTGATGGATAGCTACCAGCCTCATTGCCGTTGAGCTGTCATAATCTCCAATGCATTAGGGGGCAGCATAATTCAGGTAGTTAATGCGCCTTTCTTAGGATGTGTTGCCATGGTAATTCTAGTTGTTGTTAACGCGCTGTTTCATAGGTTTAGTTGGGAAAAACCTAGATAAGTCCAGCAAACCCCACAGGCCTAGTTAATAATCGATATAAAGTAATGTGGCATAAACTCTCAGGGCTGATAGTCCACAATGTAAGACTGCCCTTCGTAAAACTAACGGAACTAAAGTGGGCTCAATTACGGCGTGGGCCCTTCCCTGTATCGCCGTCGTAGTGACAAATCACCGTTAAGATCCGGGGTGATGCAGTATACATAGTGTAGGCACTCAGAGCCACAGACGGATTAAGAAAGTCTCTGGTGCAGCAGGAAATGCTCAGTCGGTATCTAATCTGGTAGTCTCTGCACTTTGCGCCCGTGTATCCGTCGAGCCGTTAGTTTAGATAACTGAATTCTACCCATAAGCGAATTTTACCGTGCAAATATAGCCGTATCAATGCTAATCATATCCTAATTGCGCTGTATTTATACTACGTAAAGCTTCATTCGACAACAAAGACTATATGGATATAAAACGATAACTAAAACCATATGATGAATATGCATATAAAGTTCTGTAGGGAGTTTGATCACCACACGATTACGTGATGGTATTTTTCTTTAATCTGTAATTTTTGTCTTTTGTTTTTTATGTTAAATCACCCCGACAACCAACTGACGGTATTGCAACGTAGATTATCCGGGAGGGCGCCCACGAAATAACTATGCTTATTCCAGTCCCTTGCCGTAAACCACGAACTACAGACTCACACCGCGGAGCATCAGCCCCCATGTGTCACTGGCTCTTCAACTTGATTGCGAGTATCTCCAACAAGTCTATTGAACGGCATAGTGAAAATACGCAATAGTAATCACCTGCCAAGGCTAAGGCTTGAACCAGCGGTGGCCGCGTATTCATGACCATCTGGCAACACACTCAAAGAGAGCCATACAGATCACATCGCTCTCCATGTGATAATAGGGCTTTCCATTTGTGAGGTAACAGGACACACAAGATAGATTGTTTTCCTACTCGTATAGCTTAAGTGGTTGAGTTATTTGAATATGAGCCAAGACCCATCATTTGAGTAGCCATAACAAAATAGTCTGTATTCTCCACAGTCTAATAAACGACACACGATGTAGCACACACCCTTATCTTCTGGTTAACAGATTCCATAGCTTTTAGACGATAGATTCGCGATGTCCTGGGTGTTGTGCCAGTTACCCCGTTTCGAGCAACGGCCAAAAATACTGTCGTAGAAGTTGACAAGACATCAATGGCTGTAATGCCTGGCATCGACCATGATGCCAGCACCGAAATGGAACCTGAAGGATGGTATTCGGAAATTTGCAGCTCGCTAGATGTTTTGCCTAAATGGAGAAATGCCGATTAGTATAACACTGGTATATGCTCGTAAGTTCAGCTAAAGAATATATTCTATAATGACTGTTTTTGAAACGTTGTTGAGTATTTTCATTAGAGCAATATTGGTTGCCTTTCCCGTTATTTAAATATTGTACAACGTAGTAAAAAGGACATGGCAGAGCTATCATTGTAATGTGACATGGAAAAAAAAAAAGTGCATTTCTATTAATCTATAGAGAATTTTGCGTCACTTATCTAGTCGGCCTAAAATAAGGCACATACTGGATTCATTCAGAACAAATTTCAAGACTAACTGATTTCCAGTATTATCATTACTAAGCGCGCACCAGTTTCGTTGATGCCAAAGACTGTAATCAAACAATCCCTTCCGTGAAACGTAAAGAACTTCGATAACTTCATGTGCACCAAGGTTCCATTAGGATAAATGAGAGATTGTTGCGCGATAACATGTTCAACATCTGTTCGATTGGCATGATTCAAATTTTTAACCAAAATGGTGGTACGTTCTTGTCGCTCAAGTGCTCCACATTGGCCAGCAGCAGGAACATTCGTTGACATGATCACTTCGCGATCTGCCCTCGTAACCACTGCTGACAACCTGCAAAAAGAAGAGGCAGGTAACGGAAGTCCGTGACGGGGTTTTTTTCGAATGGGCCGGATTTCTAGTTCTCCCCACAGTAACGCTTCCATTATGCCTGTTGTTTCTCTATAGATGTCAAATTTCTATTTAAGACATGGTCTATCTGGCTGTAATACAGGCTCACCTTAGACATAGGCACCTATAAGCATAAGAAGCAGAGACACCTACAACAGCTAAGAGGTGCTAAGGTGAGAGGTAATAAGGCACACAAAATCGATTGTTTTTACTAAAGACTTAATGTTCAAAGCTCGAAGTCGAATGTTAGTGTTACCTTTGGTCGAAGAATACAAAACTAGGTCCACGTAGTAAGCCCGTACTGTCGACATGATAAATGAGGCTGTCATGATGATCGCAGCAAACTGGTGAAGTTTCTGGACAGGAAGTATTGCGCACCGCATGAAATATCAGTGAAGGGGTCGGGATCGTGGGACGAAATGACAAAGGTACAGGCAAAGCAGATGGCGCTAAAAAAATACAAAGTATCAATCTCTAGTTGTTGCGGTCGTACTCGTTCAAACTAAGCGAAGGTTTGATTTTGTCGTCGCTATTGATTCGTGCATACGGTGACGATTGCGCGGCAATTGTTACTAGCAGTCAACAAAGTGAAATAATGAATAAATGATGAGAAAGTAACGTAACTTCGGGTGCTTTGGCCTACTTGGTAGATCTTATTTGTGCTGGCCCAAATCAGTTAGCCTTATGAATACTACGCTTTACGTGTCATGAAAATAAAGCCGTTTACATAAAAATGCTTACCAGATGATATATCTAGTAGATATTTTGCTTCAGTAATTATTGTCTGTACTTCAACGAAGATGCTAATAGGTCGCTTCTTTGGTACAACGCCGTTTGCAGTAGTTCGTGTTATCTTCTGCATTTGAACTGCACTCCCAAAGGTTCGGGAAGGTCTATTAGCGGTAACAGTTTGTCCAACGTGAGAGCGGTAAAGAGGCCAAGTCGTTGACGTAGACATTTTACCTATATTCTAACCACGGATGGAATGTATCATCATGCTGATATATTTCGAACAGATTCAAACCACAGCTAAACGCTAGCAGAGCTTAAGTAAACCTAGGAATCGCGCTTAGATAAGATGAAACACGATAGGATTCGTAATCTGTAAAGCATACGCTAATATTTTCTACCCTGTCACAGTTACTTCAACGTTTTAAGGGAACGTCTCATTCACACGTGTATGTACTGCCGGATTCCTTTAGTTTTAATTATCTGCACTCTGTAGTTTTTTGTAGTATAGCAACATTCTGTTGAAGAGCAGAAAGCGATGATAACCTCTATTTCACTCTACGAATTAGACGCAAGCGTTTATTGAAGAATAGGCATCACGAAAAGGCCAGGGGTTCGGATAATGTTAAGATCTAGTATCGCATTGATAAACATTGCCCATTGTCATCTACACGACAGAAATGAATATTCCCACTAAAATAAGTGGATCAAATATGCGCTAACCTTACAAAACCCGGCCAGCCCTGCTGGCTTCATATAAAATCGAGATAATCGCTTGCCGCTGATTATCCCAACCGAGGGGGTGCAAACAAATCCATTGCCAAAAATGGAGAATTTTTGGGGGGTAAGCGATTCATAGTTATGTAATTACTTATTAATTAATTAGTTTAGATTAGTTGATTTAGACATATAACGCTAGTATACTTCGTTTCCGTAACTACATACCTGTACAGTGGACTGACTTTCCTGAAGTTTAGGTAGTATAGTTTTTCTCCCTCTGATTTTATATCTATTGAATGGTGTCCATCCTTGGTCGGTCAATAGATATTCCTGACCAGATGGCCCAGTGTTTTTGTAATTTCCTACAAGGTTGATACCGCGAAAGTATTCACCAGTTCATACCCATATGACAGAGGATTTTCTCATATGGTTCATTAGCAACGTTTAACTAAACTTTACTGTATTCTAGGCAAGTGCATTTATATTGTTGCCATGAAGGAGTTTTATTTCATTTTTACGTGCATCATTTGATTCCCGACTAGAGTATTTAGAAGTGTCGTTCGACTGTACCTTCCTTCTTGTGACGAGAAGGCATGCAAAAATACGCCATGATTCACTTACGCTTCCAAATAATATAAAGAGTTGTTCAATATGGTGAAACAATAACCCTAGGGTCTCTGCATACTGACTCAATTCCTGCTTATCTTAGTCGAACGAGAAACAACAGTAGCGCATAGTAATGATGATGAGATACCTGGAGAAATCCTGCGGTGCCGTCTAACGTTCTGCGGTGGCCGACAAAGCTGAAATTACGTCAACGGCCAGTCGTGGGATCCGTTTTTTAGTTGCGCTATTTTGCCACAGTCCCACGTCGGCGCTTTCTATTTTGACAGCTTGAAATGATATACGTCTACCTTTGAGTTCTCGAGGGACCTACGCTTTATTGAAGTCACATTCACGCCAGCCATTTATCTAAACCAATAATAAAGCTAAAGTAAAGCTAATAATATAAATTTCAGGATGAGACGAGACAAAAGTTCGTCCGTTAAGGGGTATTGGGCGTATTCTTCTTTAGATAGAATGCGTATCCATCTAAAGGAAATGAAAAGAGTTCGAGATGACACCGGCTTTCAGCGGCCCTAACAGAAAACCATGTCAAAGGTAAACATACCTTTGTATTGACGAGTGGTCGTAGCGGGATACTGTAGCGTATACTCAGCCGTAGCTGGTCCCCGTGCGGTCTTCGCCATTGAGCCGATGGACTGCGCTGCGTGTTGGCTATACGTACACAAAAGAAGTCTCACTCGTTTACCATTAAGGATCTACGTTAAGCCATATTTGTGTCAAATATAAAAGTCACTGTAAGTTTAATCGACGGCTCTCGAGTACTTTGCAACAGTCGCTCTCGCTAATTTCAGCGCCGTCTAAACAAATTTCTTAGCTTAGTTGTTTGTGCTCCACTGGCATTATTGTATTTCGCATTTGATATTAGGTTTTTCAAAGCTAAATCAGCATTGCTTCAGATGACTAGTTCCCAACACAAAATAGAGTCGAGATACCACTGGGTGTAGACTTCTTAAGTACACCCTAGTTTTTTGGTAACACACACTATCACAGGACTAAGGTAGAAATCATGGCATAAACTTCGCAAGATACGCAAGCACTAAAAACGTTGGCCTTTCTGAAGTTCTACGATGAAACGAACGTTATTACTAGGAATTGTGCCGAAAAATGAAGGTACACTTCTTCGGAATCCAATATTCGCTCTGTGTTCTATTGGGCCGTACTGATAAGGTCAATATCTATTATGCTTTCTGTTTCTTTCGAACAATGCACCCTCAATCGATTTTAGACAGACCATTTTAACCACACGTTGAGCAGAAATATAGCCAATTTTTCGTAATCGGTTATTCTACATTTAACTTAACAATGAACACGCTAATAAATATAAACTTATAAAACAGCATTTCCAAATTTCCTAAACAAAAGATTTAATTACCTATTTTTGCTGCTTTTTTGTAGTGCTTCAGTAGCTATAATTTTTTTATACCCTTAGGTCGAGCTGAGTGATTCGTGAAAATCCGACTTCAGGACACGCATAGCCTCACGCTTCATGCCATATTATGCATTATCTTAAATGCGTCTGATCTGATTAGCGTATCCGGTTAGCGTACCTCAACACTCGTTGGAAGTGAACTTATCGGCGAAAACTAATGGGTGGCTGTACGCGTACGTAACTGACTGATTCATTAAAACGCGAGCTAACACACTATTGACTACCATAGTTAGTTAGGGCCTGTTCGTTTGTAAAATCAAAACTTTCAATTACCTTTTAAGGTGTATTGTAACGATTTAATTTCAGTATAAGTTTGCACCAAACTTAAATTAACGCTACTAAACAATAGACCCCATAATGGCAGCATAACAAAATTGTAAGTTCTCATACTTTATTGTTATATTGTATTCGAAAATTAGTCAAGCTCAAGAGGCTTTGAGGGCTGGACGAAGCTTGCCGAACAGCCACCAACCTTATTGACAAAATCATGACGAGTACGTGCTTACTTAACGTTGCAAATAGCACGTTACATCTTGTAGACGACACTGGCCCACGTGCATGTCTATGTAATGCCCCCGAAACTGGCTAGATTTAATGGGAATTAAAACACCAAAATGTAAAGAAAGCGCAACGCGTAAAATAGTTGAACGCCTAAATTCTCTTGTGATCCAAGCATGTTTAGAGTGCTGGATAGTCATGAGTTTCCATCGTACAACATCATTGCACAAGTACGTAGCATTTGTCGCTGCACTTAATAAAAGCCTCCGAGGACCTTAACCCTGGGTTCTATACTTACAAGAGGTTGGCGTGCGATAGAATGTCATCTGCCGCATAAACTTGCACTAGTATAGCTTGATTATAGTTTCAGCAAGCGTTCGAACGAAAAGCCTTTTTTTCATTCGCGAACTCATTATAATTTGGAAGCGGCTAGATTTGTTCAGTACTGAAAAGGAGAGCTATCGTCTAGCATGACAAATAAACAAATAGTTTACTACAAGGTAAAAAAAACATACGGTTAGTTACCTCGCGGCCTAAAGGCTGTCCAAGTTATAAACCTCGACGCTAATATGTAAAGTCTAAGTGTTTAACGAACGTTTACATACGAATATTCCAATAAACGTTTTTGTTTGGCATCATATCTATCCATATACTATACTGTGCTATGATATTACACGACCACCTGTCAGATTCGGTAAGACCTAGGCTAGTCTATATAATGGCAAAGGAAAATCACAGAAAGCTTGTTGGCGTAGTCATTTTATTATTTAGATAAATTTAAAGTATCTTTACAAAACTTTTAACAAAAACCATATCATCCGCAACGACACCTTATCTGAAGCATTACGATCTCTACATCACACGACGTGTTCTGCTCTTTTTCCCTTGACACCTCCAATTGTTGATACGCATTTGTAGTGAGTTCTACATCGTTTACGAATGAATTCACAATTGTAGAGCTATTGTGTTTAGTTCAGCCCATTTCGTTGCAGATGATCAGTTGTTCGGTTTATTATTTAATTATTATTATTATACACATATGTAGACAGGCTATGGGTTTCTATTGCCCGTGTCGTCTGCGCTTTGTCTTCATCTATCTTACTATTTCTTAGTAGTTATATCATTATGCTCAATAATGACGCTGCTGATGATTGTTATATTACAGTCATCGTTATTCTTGTTATTATTACTATTACGATCATTTTTTTTTTTTTTCGTTCGTCTAGTTTTCTTTCTATACTGTTGCCACTGGTTTTCTTACTGACGTCTGTTTGAACATCGAGACGATTCAGAGATTATACAGACAATGTTAACATCATTGTGTGCGATTCAAAGAGAGAACTTATATATATATATATTCTCATTTCATGTGTCAGTTTCTTTTTGCACTTTTAACATTTGCCAACAATGACGCCGAGGAACTCCTAGTCGTCTCTGAGAAGCTTTTTAGTCGGTTAAAAAAACAGACGTGCGGCAGAGAATAGTTACATAATATCGCCTGGAAAATAGTACGGCTGATTATTATCACCATTATTGATACCAACCGTGTCATAATAACAGTAGTAAATAGCAAGCAGTTTCCCTTGGCCATGGGAAGTCAGCTTACCAACCAGTCTTTCTTTGCAGAAGAAACTTACTCGTCCTGGAAATGAACGCACTGGCGGCCTCGATGTGCCTAATCCGGGGCCTGATCGTGTTCTCCCTTTGCCTTTTGCTTTTCTTTAGGCTTTAACAGTTGAACCAGCGGCCGTCACGGTAACTAGGGTTTCATTCTTCTGCAGCTGTTATTCTCACCGTAGTTGTCACCGTTGCAATACAGATACAAAAAATAGATTGGTGCATTATACAAAATATATAACCTAGTGTTTATATTGAACAAACATCTTAGCGTTAGCCTCTTTTTCCGATATCTTTAGAGGTTATGCATCTGTAATGAGCTTTGCGTGAATCATGCTTTAAATTCTCTATAGGCTGCGCTCACCTATCACATGTACGCTACCATAATATGGGTGTGAAATGTGTGTTCAATAAATATCCCACCACGTTTTGGAAATACGGTCTCTTCAGGGTCCTGCAGGCCTTTTCCGTATCGCTAGCTTCCATTATATGAGTAGTTGTAGATCTCATATGATGTTGTCTACTTAATAAAGTTACTTCAGAAATTATCGCCCACTATTACCGAATACGTCTGGGCATATCCATCATTTAGCGTAGCCAATAACATTCTGGATGATATCTCATAGTATCATTAGTTGACTATTGGTTTGTTTGCATCTTCTTTCATCAGCCACTGATTTGCATTACGCCATGTGGAAGCAAACATTAAACGGCTCAACTAACTAACGCAGGCACTATGTCGGTTTATATATGGTTCGGTTTATTGGTTTATCTGTTTGCGTAATTACTCATAGTGATATCTGTGGCATCGCCAGTAACAAATTTCGCTAAATCATCGATCGCTGTTCTGTACACGTTTGGCACGCAAGACGGGCGTCTCGGGTTTACCATTCTCGGACTTTCCACCTTTCTCTACGTTGCTTTTGTCTCGTATTCAACTATAACTGTCAGGTTCACATCACGCATGCTGCCTTCGTCACGTAAGGTAGTCAGCGGAGTGATCCGAACAAAGTTACCGTTACGTCTGTATGTGTATGTATGTATTTATTATGCAGAATCGGTCAATATGATACAACACCACCTGCTACTGCCGCTTCACGCTTCTGGACGCTATCCACAATTGGCGTCTATGCGCGTTTTCTTCAATATTTCTAACGTTCACAACGACCACATGTAGCAGTTGCAAGGCTATCGTCGTCCTTGGATCTCTTCTCGACCCATTCATATCGCTCCTTCTTTTTCGTCGTTCCTGAGCTAACTGCAAAAGGATACTCGAACCTAATGTACACATAATAGCCTTCGTTATATAATTCTGCCACAGATCAATGTTTTCTCCATCGTTACGTGGCCGGCTGGCGCTCATATTGTTGCCGAAATATTATTGTGTCGTTGCTGTTTTCTATCTTTCAGGAGTGTAGCTGCTACGCTCGCAACTCGTCAAACTGAACGACGATGGCTCTTCATTATGCTGCGATGTTAGCGGATATCGTTCAATTAATTCATGGAAGCACGTAATAAAAGACAACCGTCTACCCACTGATTTGGCTTGTCAAGCATTTGACGCCAAAGTCGAATCTCTTCGCCCTGTGAGTCCATCCAATCAACTAATGAATTCTGGTACTTTCCTGTAATAGAAAATATTTTCCCTAAAATTAGCGAATGAAATAAACGCAGACAGCATAAGCAGATGTAAAAAGTAAAAGTTATCCAAGGGAAAAGTACGTCGGAATCTTCTCGCGTGTAATCATATATCTTTTTATTGAAAATGTTTTTTTTTTTGTTATGAAAAAGAACTAGGTGGGGTAGAATTGATTCATTGCAGTGAATTATTAAACATGCTATTTGGACAACAATTACTTACTAGTTCCTAACGATAGTCGAACCCCGCCGAGAAAATCGTTGGAGGTAATTTTATCGTAGTCCCAGATAGTAAGCTCAAGGGCACGTTCGCGCAGTTCGGCCAATGATACGTCGTGATACACGAATGGATGATTCCAGACGGGAGTCGTTGAACGACGTGCCACAGCTGTCTTCTGTTTGCTACTCTTGTGCCGATCCGGAAGTAAATAACTTGTATCGCGTCCAGTAAAAATACAGATATCATCGAATATAGAAGATTAGTTAACTTTGACGACTCCTCTTCGTTTTCGAACATCAAGTAGGCATATAGGCGTAACCTCGTAAGCTAAGCATGAAAAGGTGACGGTACATGTAGCAAGTACGCAATAATACATACAAACAAGTGGTCAGTGACCTCTCTCATTCTTATCGCCAATTTAAAGTAATACGTTATCAGGATGCTACGAGTACGCACCATTTGCAGAAGGGATCAGAGGTTCCATTCGATCTGGTGGCCTGCAAATTCGAGGCTTCCTTAACGATGACGTGCAGTGAGCCTTTACCGGGCCGATGGTCATGAAGAGCCCACTTAAGAGATAACATTAAGTCACCTCTGTAAGCGCTTCCCAACGGACCTCCCAAACCTCCACCGATGCCTAACGATCCATCATCTATGGCATCCACCTGTAAACGAACTCAGTGAGTAAAATTCTATGAAGTTCTACTAAGGCCGCCTCAGTGGCTGTGTTCCAGTTCCACCGACTCCATAAACTCCATAAACTCTATATATCATATAAAGAATGTCATCAACAATAAATCAATTCGAAGGGCTCCACTTCATGTTTGCAAAGATTTTAATTATCCACTTATAATATTAGTTATATTATATAGGATAATGCCTGTGCAACTATTTTGAATGCAATATAAAAGGAGAAATTTAGCTACCTTTCGAAGACAAAACTAAAGAGATCTCTATATCACATTATCGTTGATCTCTCGTTCTCTTGTACTTTCCCGTTAGTATGTGTGTGTGTCTGTGTATAGATATCGCCACTGCTGTTAATTTTTACGCTATCATTTTTTTTAACTATCTACAGTATCGCAAAAAAAATCAATCAAAGCAGTTGTTGGTACTGCACTATGACAATATCATCCGTCGTTAGTGGAAACGGAAATGTTGGCAACAGAATATGGCGACACAACTAGCTTCCACAAACAGGTTTTCCCGCATCTATGTATCGTTGCGGGAGTTTAGGACAGCGGTCCAGGCCTCTTTCTGCGAGAGGCTAAAAAGTTCAAATTGAAATGTCGATGTTTTGCTCTTATACGATCCCAAATATGTATACTTCGAGAAACCCGTCGACTATAAAAATGGAATCAAACGCATTACGCCAGTTTAACTTCGAACACACATTTCTGGCACTATTTCTCATTCTGCAAATTTCGATATCGGAGAGCATATTGAGGCATGCACATTACAATACCTCGAAATTTGTGAAATGGCTAAGATAGAACTTGTTTGTTAAGGTAACTTTTGTTGAATCAACGCTTTAACCTGTTATGCGCGCGCATTTTCAAATAGATCTATATAAACTGAAAAGATACCGACTACTTGCACACAGCAGAGTGACAAATAGTAAACACTTCGGTAATATAGTGGTGATATATTGGCAATTAATTTTTGATTCGAGAAAATATACTGTAAAATAAAGCGGGTGCTATTATGTGTTAAATTATTCCACTCTTATATAATATTCCAGCAATGCCGCAAATGTAATTAGGCTTACTTGATCCTTTTTTCTCACGAGATTTTTATTGAGTAAATCAATTTCTTTATAATCCAATAAAGGTAGTGTGAGACGGTCGAAATGTCAGAGTTCTACAACAGTGTGATTGCCAGAGAAGCGGTTAGCTCATGAAGCTTAGTCGTTCCAATTTCAATCTTGGAAATAAAGCGCGCTGAAGATTTGCATGAAGTCGAAAAAAGACCGCGGTAAAATCCAAAGTCAAACGACTGGAGAAAGCTCCTAGTTGAGCCTGTCAGATACCGATGTTTCTGCTCTCGCTGAAGCAGAGACTTATGCGGGGAGAAGTTTGCGATGCGGAACTTGAATGGAGTGGAATCTTCCATTGTTTATTTATTATATAGTTAAAGTTCTAGTTAGAGTTGGCGATTACCGGTTCTTCTTATGTAACATTTCGCTAATTAAAATGTTTTCAAGTCATATTCAGAGAAGCTGCACAGATAGCAAGCAACGCCAGATGCTGTAGGGTAGTTAAAATACATAAGATACCATTAATAATCGTTTTAAAGCAAACTTATAGGAAAGACGGCTATATAATATAGGTGTCTAGACCAAAGACAAGCTCTTACCCTTTTCTGCAACGGGTACCAGTGAGAAGTATTGGTTTCAAGCATATCCGACGAGAGGTCCTTCATAACTTCCCCAAGGAAGTCGTTTCGGCCGAACATATCGCAATGCCATACCGAAAGCCACAAGGTTCGAGACGTCAACTCGGTGCGTTCCACCGAGAAGCGCAGCACCTTTGAAAAAACAAGCGAAGATGAAAAATGGTGGGCCAGAAATACGCCATGACGCGACCGCATCGAACTACAGCAATAGCTTTTTTTGGCGGTGTCGCAATTTGATAGTCGACCAATCTCGTAGCCTCACAAGCAATTCTTCCATCAGAAATTTCATTCATCCATCAGAGAAAAACAGTGCGAAACAACTGCAGGCAAACGTTTTTCTGAAACCCGTATCTATAATAACGATCGCTAGAAGTGAACGTGAGGAAAGTGTAAAGAACACAACGTGTTCTAGCACAAGTTTACCTCGTTGAAGACAGGGTTAAGCGTGTGTTTCCGTACTTTTGTCTTGCGTTTTCCAGATTTACTACGATCTGGTAACAAATATACCTGCAAAGAGAGCGAATCATTTATATATACATCTGAACTCGCTTTTTATTAAATGATGCAAGAAGTAAATCTGATCGGTGAACCGCAGTTGCGAGACGTAATGTTTACGTGTTAATGTGTTAAAACGTCTTTTTCAGTTGCATTATTACCCACGGCGTAACTAATCTACTATCTAATTATCTAATAAATAAACTAATAGATAAATAACTATCTAATTGACACTAAGCAATTTAAAGCAATTGCTTAGCATCAATGAGATAGCATCCCAGCGCGTGCAGGTTATCACTTTTTTCTGATCTGTTGTTTCTTTTCAGTTGAGTGTGTTCTTTAGAGATCAGAGTAGGATTTTGCTGATTTCGATGATCCTCAACAGTACAGGTACCAACTTCGTGCTAGACCTGTGTCAGTTTAAGTAAATGGTCGTTTGGTTTTAAGAGCTACCGCCGAGTCTGCGTAGAGCTATGATGCTAAGCAAGCGTAAGATACATCCGTTTTCTAAGGGAAAATGTATAACCTCTGTAAAATTCATTATCATTGTAGCTTCTGAAATGTTCGTCATAAGTGTGCCGTTTTATAGATAGCTTGAGCTGAATCTCAAAGGACGTAAAAGCAAACTGCAGTATCATTCTGGCATAAGTGGTACTCCGCGTACCAGCCGAATTTATCAAATGACTAACATAAAGACTTTTCTTTCCAACTATTATATTATGAATGCAAGCTTTAAAAGTCCTAAGGCTGATGTTAGCGCTTACCTTGACATAGGGATCCGATCGATTTCGTTTCTCATCGACCGCTGCGAGATTTTTCGCTTCGCGTATCAGGACATTAAGGACGCCCTGCTGGAGATCGTACGAAAGACCAAAGTTGACTTCGCCGGTTACAGACACGGCCCCGTAACGACCACCTCCAGCTGCGGAATATACCGATGTCATACTTTCCGAACGACCACCCTGAAGACGCAGGCGTCCATCACAGCATGCCCAAGATTGGATGTACATTAATTTAGTAAGAAGCAGAGAAAGGTGCATTTGCTCTCTTTACAGGACGAATCAGCAGTCATCAATACTCTATAACTATTATTATTATTATTATTACGACTAGGTCCTATCCAGCGGACATCAGCGAATGCGCTGTTTTCGCCAGTGTCAGACACTGATTTGTGTAGTATAATAATAATAAAGTGACATCGCTAACGATTCTTCTAGCCTGGTCATCACGAACTAGACTTGTTTCCGGCAAGCTTACGACGACAGCACACATATGAACCATGTACGTTATGCGGTATCTTTTACCTTTGGACGGTAGTTCGCGTGACCGAATAGACAGGTAACGATCATCACTCGTCAAGGCGTCCAATCCAAGCTTCCACGTAGCCTGATCTAAAATTTTATTAGCTCTATCGGCCAATCGAGGCTTCATAAGTAGTTCCAAATATTGAAGGAGTCACTCATGAATAGAGGAATACGCGACAGGTAATGCAATTTATTGCTCTTTCCCTTCTAGCTACGATATTGAGATCGGTATTCATATTTTAATCGCCCCCAGTCTGGCTTGTTCCCCTATCAAACCATCGATATATGTAGCTATAGCATTTTGGAACGGATCTGCTTGTCCTCTTCTTTAGCAGCAGTGTACAGGAAATTTCTTCAGGCTTAACTGCGATACTTGAACATGATATCGCCCAATTGTATGTTACAACAATAAAAAGTTCCAAGTGAAATGTCTATGTATGTGAAACGATGTCACTTTTCTATATGTGTGCGAAAATTGAAATACGGCCTGCCTATTAAAGTCACTTCGTCGAGTTTTTTTCATACGACTTAGAAAAGTGACTCAGTGAGTGGCGTCTTTTACCGAGCGCTACCTTCTAAAAGGGTATATGTACTCGATATCAACGCCCTCTGGTAAAAAAAAAATACAATTATCCCTTTTGATCCAGGTCCTCAGAAAGCTTACCCTAGCACTTCAGTGTTTCTTTCCGAAAAGCAACGTTTAGCAGAATGCGTCCTAATCGCTCAATAAAAGGTACCGATAAAATCCGCACGTGAATGTAAAGAAAATCAGAACGGCATTACTAGGAACGTTTTGTAGACGTTTGTGTCTTTTCTCTGTAATGTGAAAATTTGCGATAACCAATAAACCGCATTGAAATGTGTCACAGTCAAAGCAGTGGAGAAAATTTCCATCACTGCTCTGTAAGGAAACAAACATAAACATCTTCATTCATTTCGACGCACTTCCATTTGCTCTGACATCAGCTGCAACAGCAGAGCTACCAAAGACTTCAACCTTCATCCTTCTATATAAGCTTCGTTTTTTGCTAACTTTTTCTATAATAAGTGGCGGTGGCAACATCGCTAATAGACGCAATAACAACCATTTTGTCTGTGTAACGCCTCCGTATCTCATATAGAATTATGAAAATACGAAAATCGTCATTATCTCTGCCGTCAATGAACCTTCAATTTTATACGGCCAACATCATCACGATGATCATCAGCCATAATCTACATCTTTGCCTTTTTTTCTATCCGATTGCAGTTTTGCTTGCTTAGCAGGACATGCACATCGTAATATCTTCCAAGCTCGTTACTTGTCATCGGCGTTATTGTCAAATTTCGCTTCACACGATTCACTGTGAAGGGCAGGCGGTGGGCGAGGCAATACGGGCCGCCTTGGGCACAGGCGGGTTAGCCGGAGGATTCAACGCGAGCTCATTTGCCCCCGTAGCAGTCACAGCAACAGCCATCCATCTTATAACGGCCATGCGGCATTGCCTCGCCAGCAGTCGTTGATTGTTTAGCGAGACACAAGCTACCGCTGGCGACGGTTCCTTCGCTACCCCCAGCCCCCGTCTGCATACAACAACCGTTAGCTGCTGCGGTTGTGACATGAACTTGCTGCTCTTGGCAATATTTAACTTTCACCAATATTCGCTACTGCTGTTTGTACTGCCATTATTACTACAATCGTTACGGCTATCATTCGGAAATTGTTTTCAATTTGTAGTGTTAGCGTGACTATGTGCGTCATGAAAGCACATGTATTTTGCACCTGCAGGCGTGTCAGCGTGCTTGACTGGGCACATTTGATGGTCCTTGAAGTCGTCAAACACTAAGGTATTGTTATCATTTTTGATGTTGCCACTGCTGCTTGTCTTCTTATAAAAGAGAAGCCGATCGTCGGCACAAGTAGACACGCAGCAACAGTGCGAAGAAAATCAATAATCGCGCAACGTAGAAGCAATATAGGCCATCTTGCATCGCCCTGTGATTTTCGATATCTTCTCTAAGAACAGAAAAACAATGGTGACAGCACTCGCACGAGAATAACGGCAGCTTCAGATACCGAGCGGCGGTATATCCAGCGTTTGCAACGTTCATTGCGACGATTGGCGCCAAAGCTTCGGCCGTCGTCTTACCCTTCTATCGACAAAAACGTGTCTGTCGTTGATACGTGTCGCTGTTAAAATAAATTATGTTACGGTCTCAATTAATGCTGCTACTGTAGTTAGCGTGAACAATTATTGTCCACTCCACAATGCGACATCCTAGAGGAGCACAGCAGAGGTAGATACGAATTTCGTTCGATAGAACTTGACGGCGGTACCAGGCGACGATGTCGGCTGCAAAGTGGACCTTTTCCCTATTCCATTTGACTGAACGGTTACGAAGAGGATGAACTAGCGCGAGTGGAAGTTGGTATTCGTATTTACGACTAAAGGCTAGCGAGACGTCTTTATTTAATTTCATCCTGTTGTTTATAGCCTACTCGGGCATAAAAATGCTCATATGATCATAACTGAAAGATCGCCTTACGACAAGTCGCATGGGACGATTAAATGTTGTAGATAAGAACGCTTCTTTTGTGGTATGCTACGGTAGGGAAGAACTATTACGTAACTACGTCGCAGTACAAAATGCTTACGTCTGCCTGGCCTGTGTGTGTATGTTTTTGTTTTTACGTACCGCGTATTCAACACACACCCGCTGCCAACGACAGCCAAATTAATGCAATTAACATTAGACAACATGTGAAACCACTAACAACAACGTTACGATGTCGGTTTGCTACAAACGGCACGTTTTGTGCATCAATCACCTGATGATAGTGATTGTGCCGCTGAGAAGACCTGCTGGTCTAATGTAAGTATTCCGCCCCGTTTGCCATGTCTATACATAGATGCTAAAGCAAAGAACACTTGTGTTCATATATATATATAAAAATAATACCTTGTAACTTGGGATCCTTAGTTGTAAAAATTCTATTTGCGGGTACTGCAAAAAAAAAGCCATTTTGCATTGACATTCTTATATTTTACAAGTTCTCCATTTAGGCCTTTGAAACCGGTTAGCAGCGTGGACTTCGTATGACATTGAAAATGTGATAGTAATACTGTTTCTTATATATTCATGGCCGCTGCTTATGAGCCGCAATACATAACTGCAATGATTCTGTTTCACTTTACTTGTCATTTAGCCCAAGGCAAACACAGGGTGGGCGGTGAAAATTACGCTACAATAGGTCGAAATCGTTATATCCAGATTTTTATCTAAATTTTACTTGAGATAATTATTCGACGAACTTCTGTCCGGTAGTCAGGCACAGTATTTAAACACATGCTATTGGAGCCATTATCACGGAAGGCCCTTCTACTTTCATGCTTTCTTAACGAAATTACTGCACTAGCGCAACCCCGCAAATGTTTCAGAGAGTTATGGGAAATACAATGGATTAAATGCCTAACACCGAAAGTGGGGCTTGCTATCATTAGGAATCTAGCAACCATAAGATAACCATGCTACATGTTCAAGATAGATTCAACAATCGCCATGTTTAATCTTCGTAATGATGCGTACAAATTTACCCCCCCCCCCCCTTCGTTCCTGTGCTTCTTCATTTTCCCCGGAACTGCTTTAATTACAATATTATAATAAACGAAATATAGTGCATGCTAGCTAAAATCGATCGTTTTATAGCTTGTTGGATGTTTAAATCCCGTCGCTTACGCAGGGAAAGTCTCACTTCTTTAATATTGGTCTGTAAAGCTAAAATCTATTATTTATTTTTTTGGCACACTAAAGGATAGTTTCTCTCTGCTAGAAAAAGGATTCATGGATATCATTAGAATTGCTTATAGTGATCGTTGACTCAGGGCGGAATAGATTATTTCAAGAGCGTTTGATGGTAAAAATGAACAGTAGCTTGATATGGCTAGTAGCATAAAGAGCTGAGAAAACGTTCACGCTGAACGTATACTGCTCCACCGCAGATACACTATTAGCCATTAGATAAACAACGATGTAGTTCTTAGGAAGGTAATACCGGCTATTCTATGTTAAGAATGACGTAGGGTCTAGGCCTGAACAACGGAGTCAGTAACCTGCCTTAGCAGGAAATACTATCCAGACGACTTGAAATAAAATTTTTTTATAAATATATATAACGTCTTTTTCTTATTTACTTTCGGAGTCAGAGGTTTTTTATGACCATGAACCAATTTTATTTTTGACAAATTTCGAAAATCAACTCGAATCGAGACTAGTGAGCAAGCGCAGTCCTGCTTAAGGACAACAGCCGAGGCAATTGTCGCTAGCTACGTTACGAATAAGGGTTGGGTGGCACCATGCCATAACGTAATTAGCTTCTTGCACAATACCTAAGTACATCAGATATTATCTGGACAATTAGTAATGCAACCCGCTAAACTAGCTGTTACGAACGCATAGTGTTCTAGTTCAGCCAATAGATTCTCAATTGTCAAATCTGTGACTTCCGGTCCATAGATAATGAATATGCTAGACTTAGCCTATTCAACGCCGCTAAAAAATGAAGACAACCCCGTCTGTTCATTCCTATATAAAGACTTGTATATAGACTGCTTATAGAAAAACAGAGAATCCGAACATCTGCACTTCACACCATTATTATTATTATTATTATTATTATTATTGCTAACTAAATTATGGTAAATTAGCGCACATAATAAATCACATTATTAGTAAATTATACTGTTAGTATTAGTAGAGCACGTTTAAATATATTACCTCAAAAATAAATGAACCGCTCATCAAACTGCGGGACGTGAAGCAATCAGTTGTATATTATTTAAATTCACTGTTTTCAATCATTTGAAATCCGAAAGCTGGTAGAGCTTGAGACTATAAGACTTACCGGATGGTTAACGGTGGTCGTTGATCCCAATGTGGAGAGGCTGGTGTGACTCTTCGAGAATCCACCCAATTTATGAAGGTTGTCGCTCGAGGAAGCGGAATCTGCGTCCGAGCCGCGCCCCCCCCGAACACGGAAGCGTGCGGAGCGTAAACCTGGCGACCCTCCAGGCTCGGATGCTTCATCAGCTGCATAAAAGTGAAACCAACGAAAATTGTTAGAAAGTCGATTTCCGTGGTTGCTTATAGCAATATATATATATATATATATATATATACACAAAGGAAAGGTAAATCGTGCACGAGTGGAACCGGATGGCTTTGAAATATCACCTATGTTGTAAACGAATCATCTTATGTACAGAAATAAATATTTCTTCTTGCCATTTTTTTGCTAAAAATATACCCGTGGCAAATGGTGCAAAAAGCAAAAGAATATCTATACCCAATGGCGTTCGCACGCAGCCTTGGTCGTATAATGTCGCCTCATATAGGTGCGTCAGTTACGTTTCTAAAGCTGTTTCAATATATAAAGTATATATACGACATTTGAAATCAAAGCGCCAATCATCTATTTTATTCAACTGCCATGTCCATAAATCCGTTACTAGCAATCACAGTTGATCGTTAAATCTTCCATAAACTTGTTCAAAACGAAGTTATCGCAGGAATTTAAAGATATTGTCAAATTGACACAAAATAGGGTGAACAGGATGAATTGTACTTTTCATTGCCACCAATTGGCCTGTCGCTGACCTCCCTTAACCCTTAAATTACTATAGTCATTCTATAATAGTCTCTTGTTTAAGTGTTCGTTCGGCGTTAGCTTCGCCAAGAAGCTAACCAAAGTGTCAACTACAAGTTCTAAAAATACGTGATACGTCGAAAATGCAAAGCAGAAGAGACCTATGTCTGGATGTAAAGTAACCGAAAACCTCAGCTTTGACTGATTGGGGTAGAGTATATCGTAGGTCAGGTGGTGGCAGTGTATCTGCACTCACTTATCAAACACACGATGACACAGATTATGTCGAAATGAGTCAAATAATTTTAGAATAGAATAATATTTGCCAACCCGACAAAGTCGCACCTCAGTAGCGGAATGCTTGAGTCATTTAGCACTCCGTCGCGTCGCTCTCATCCGCATAATTAAAAGTTTCGCGAGCTCATCTTTTCCGATACTACAAATCAATAGCATTACCTTCGGACGAATAAAAGTCGCTAACGAACGCTTTGCAGAAGACCAAGGTGAAGACCGATCGTGGAAGAGGGTGAGCTTGTAATACGCTATCACAACGATTCTAAATAGCGGCAAAAAAACAGGCTCTTAGTTCCGTTCGTTCCTTCTATCCGGTTCTTCACTGCTGATTGTGCTCCGTTTACAGTGGTTGAGAACTCAACACTCATGACATCTTTTGGCAATCGTCCGCAGAAAATCTGGACTCCGACAACAATGGCTCGTCCTAATCGTTCTGCTTCTTCTGCCTATTTGTGATAAAAACATTCATTTCCAGTACAGCCACTACTGTTGCGGTGGTGCAGGACGGTTATTGCTCCAGCGTATATTTTATCATTGTTATGCGATCAGGAAAAGTTTCACTAATACCTGAATTAGTCCTGCGTGCTATTTTATGTGAGCAACGCCGTTATCGTCGCAGCTATAAAGGCGGCACGTTGGACTTAGGACCACTACTCGCTAATGTTAATCATCCTTCTGCTGTAATTTATATAGATTTACAGCAACAGCTTAAGCGGTTTGTGTGCATTTACCGCTAGATTCGTATAGGTACGCCCTGACGTACGGGGCGCTAAGTATCGTCATTAGCGTCGTCGTTGATGGCGGCCATTCTGTACGCGTTCATACTGGACAACTTGCGTAACTGTATCGGGCATAGCCGTTTTCAGCCGAGGAAAAGAGACACAGCGAAAACGTCCGAGTCCGACACATAAGAATCGATCATAGATAAATGCTAGTTAGCTGCTCCCCGACAGCAGCAGAAGGTTGCTCATATGATTGACTTGAGAATCGGGCCCGCTAGCTTGTAACTCGGATCCGAATAGGCCGCTGCTTAGGCTGTTAGACAAAGGTAGAAACGTTGCAGCTGTTCGTAAAGCATCCTACGCCACGATATGAAGCAATTGATGAATGTTGGGACGACTAATGACGCAACGACAATGAGAAGGATTCATGTAAACCAAGCGAATTTCATATATTATCCCCTGTGTCTTCAATATATCGTTGTGTAAACGCACTGAAATGAATAGAGAAATACTTGAAGTCGTCGAATAAAACAGATACGGGAAGTCATCTAACTAGAACTATTTACGTGCGTTCAAGCAATGGTCAACTTTGAAAAAAAAAAAAAAAGTTTTCTATTCTGGTCGAAGTTACGCAAACGCAATATATAATCGTATTTGTAGTGAACTGAAAAGAAAGAATGGGTGCCCATTTCTGTTAGCTTTATCTAGAGTCTGTGAATATATAGTAGCATGGCAATATGCAACTGAATGGGTCGCGAGTGTTTATTGCTAGTCTCCGTGAGTTGGTACCCACTGACTGGAAAATATCGCCCAAAACGATACACTATGCACGTCAATCCGAAAAAACCATTGCTGCGATTCGTTGAACGGCCGTATTCAAAGCGTTGGGCCGAAAAAAAAAGCACCATGTGTTGCCCTGGCTTACGGGCAACGACGATCATTTCTAGCAGGCTTCAATTTTTCATCGGCGTTTTATGGTGGATGACGTTTGATACGCGCGAATAGTGTTGCGTTTGCTATATTTAATTATTAGTTTCATGCTCTAATTTGCTTACTGGATACGCGCACTAATATCGTTGCTTAACTGTATTGCCTACGAGAGATCCTGTAAACGATAACACACGACGTGTACATCTACTTATCTCTAGACAAAGACCTTGACCGGTATTTCACTGGACCCGATGCTTTTTTTTTTTTTTTCTTTTTTTATCATAACTTGAGCTATGTTTTAGCTGCTCTCTGTTTCTATCGAAGGCGCTGAGCTCGTCTAGCTAATCCACCACGCCTAAGCCCTTTTTCCAGCTGTTGCCTTCTGTCTGCTGTTGAAAAGAATCTATCGTTGCTTGCGAACGGACCGGGGACGCGCTACACTGAGACGAACCAACGCCGCGTAGGGAAAACGAGTCTTCCTTCTTTAATTTTCTGGCCGATGTAACAGCATGAGCGATACGACGGAACGCCGAAGGGGGGCGAACAACAACAACAACAACAACAACAACAACTCAGAAACTAATGCCACCACGCTGAAGTGACTCTCACTTTTCAGTAGGCAAATAATTTCGAACAAATATATTGTCGTATTACGAAATACTTGAAGACTGAATTCACATTGTGTTCTTTACCTTCAAACAAGTTATCATTAATTACGTATTCCATACACTCTGAGTATTTTCTATTTCACTATAACCATAATAATAGTAGACTTTATCATCTTAACAGTGGAATAACGGTTTTTCTCAGTTTGCTGAGCTTTCGCTGTGCAACGAGTACTTGCGTTCAACCTATGTAAGTATCAGTAAATTTTACACTTTAATGTAGAAAAAATCAGTACTGCTCAAATTCGGCCGCACCCTTTCGTCAAAAAAAAAAACATACATTAGCCGTACACGTTTTTCTAGTAAACAGCAGAGTTACTTATTCTGTGAGTAACGTAGGAACAAACAGAAAGATAACTTGATCGAAAAGCTTCAAGTTGCAATAGATTGAATTTTAGTAGATAGTCCTAGTAGGAATAAAACAACAAATTGGAACATGGTTCGTTTTCGGTGCCCTGTTCCGCACGCTAATTTCAGTCAGCAATTTCATGTACTAATTGTTGAAAGAACTGCATTACAAATAGGATCTGACAGCAGCTAATTCCATTATAGCACCATCTCATTTATCAGTGACATGTAGTAAAATGGCTGTGTGTATAGTCATCTTCGCACGCGAACGAACGTATGTGTCCCACGGAAAATGTTCTTAAAATAACAAAAAAAATACCTTACTCGCATTCGCCTTGTGCACCCTAACTGGAAGCCAAAGTTGCCGGAGCTCTGACGAAAACACAAACCCTAAGGACCCGATAGGGTTACTGTAACATTATTGTACGCATTGCCGGTAAGAGAAGTTTTTCTAAGGCCAGCGACTTGCCTGCCATGGCAATACTTAATGAGTAAAGCTCGAGTGTTATATTTTTGTTAAATATATCTCTTTACCTTTTATTCAAATGTGATTAATACGGAAGATATTGGCTGGTCTTGACTAAATGGTTGTCGGAAGCTGGGTTCACTTCTCGTTACTATAGTTCTCGTGTACAGTTGTTTGTAAAGTTATCAGGTCAGCAGTGCCCTTTTCTATTCATGGGCAAAAATGTCAGAATGGCAATCTGGTGTTACCTGTTCGCTGATGCGGTTCGATTTTATAACGTATTGTTTAAACTTGAGCTTACTCAACCGACGTAGTTGATAGACACACTTTAGTTTATTGGCGGAGCGACAACTTCGACAAAGCTTAACTTCTTGTAAAAATAATAAAATAACAAAGAAAACGAATCGCCATTGGGGAGCATTTCATATCTTCGGTGTTATCGTCAATTGTACGACTAACATTTGGAAAGGTTGTATATATATATATATATATATATATATATATATGGTCTATATCTTCACCATGATCACATGTTGTTTAAGACTATCTTCTCGCTTAAATAGCTTTGAAAACTAAAATAAGCACGCAAACGGGGGGATTTTCAAACGGGTGGAGAGCGCTGGCTGAGAGAGAAAAGGCATTACATACTCTATTGTACAACGTTTACGCTATAAAATGTAAGCTATAATTTCTATAGTACGAGATTCATTAGCATTTTTTTTCATTATATAGACATAGATAAACGTTGGCCTATCGATAGTGAGGGACACGTATATAATTGCAGAAGGAGCAGCTACGTAGTTGTGTGCTTGCGTCCATCTTTGGCCGTCTTCGTCTTTCATTGATATGATCCGCTACCATCATATTGTAGTGTTTCTCTAGCGATGAGGTCAGCCGTCAATATTTGTTCATTTCCGCCACTTTGTTCGTGGAAAATTGCCAACTTTTATGGAATTCGGTATCATTCTATACATGTTTTATTACTATCTTTTCCGGGTTTTACTCACCAACGATGGATA